ATAGTTTGGAGTAAGAGAAATGCAGGAAATGAGAGAAATTTGATTGAGTGGTAAAGAATCTGGGAACAGAAGTGCAGGAACAAAGGGCTTTTAATGGTCCTTGGGGAACATTTTATTTCATTCACACTCATGCAATTCCTTCCACATAATTGATCAAACAGGCTGGACAAGGTCAATAATTGGAGACAGTTTAAAAATATGATTTATGCTATTCAATCATATATCCATCCTATTTTGGCTCTGCTGAAATAGGATTTGCAGGTTTTTATATTTCAAAAACCTCCAAAACAGATTTGAACAAGTTGATAATAGGTCTAAAGAAAAAATGTATACTCTACATCTTCAAAGACAAAATGCTTTTAAATCATACATAATGTTTCAAATTGATGGTAACTCTCCAACTTTATGTTACAACTATTCCAAAGCAGATAATGGTTTCTTTCTTTTAACAATAAGCTTCAGACTATAAATATTTTGAAGGCTCACCTTGTTTACTTTAGTATTCTAAATTATAATATTTTAACGTAATCCTTAGTTTCCCTTGATCAGTGTTATGATATGTGAGACTATTTATTTATTTAAAGTATTTATTTTTTACCTTTCTTCTTGATGGCAGACCCCAGTAAAGTGATCGGAAATATGTGATAATTAATATAGCATTATTCATAAGCTCTTCTGCAGATAGCTATGACATTTAAAGTTCTTTGGCAGATTATATTGGAAATTATTCAGTTAACCTCTTCATATTACTGCTACTGATGTTTTAATAGAAAGTGGGCAATCAAATACAAGTATGGGGACTGACTCCAGAAAACCAGGAGAAGTGGTAGAGCTACACAGAGTACCTAAAATAGGCCTGATGTAGGGGATAGTGACATTTTCCTGTGGGAAAACCCATGCAGGTGGTGATCTCTGGTGAGGAATATGCCACAGTAAGAGCAAGATCCTTAGTTTTCATGGAAACTCAGTCCGTGGTATCTTACTTTGTGGGAACCTTCTGTTTGTACAATTTCCTTAGGTCTCCCATTCCTATAGGCAGTTCTTAAACATGTATTAAGTTGTCTGTAGATACCTTATCCAACTGTTGATTCTAGGTGTGCTTGGTCTACCAGGATGGAAATTTTAGAATTTGCACTCCCAATATATCTTAATATACATTGAGAGAAGCTACCAAGATCATTTTCATATGTCGCAAAAAGGGCTCCAACTGAGACATTTGTACTAATGAATAACCCCCTGTAAGGACTTCCATAGGAAATTATCTTTGTGAAGCTTATGCATATCCTGCTGACTTGGTGAATTATGCACCAGGCACATTCTGATTTTGGCCCTCATGCTGTCTAATGAATATCTTTGAAAACTGTACCACAGCCATGTCTTTAAAAAATAGAGGAAGAATTCAACCTCTTGCTAACAAAATTTCGTAAATCAGAAATGGGCAAAGTTTTAATAAGATTTTTTATATATCCATATATATAATAATATTTTTTATATATCCATATTTCATGTTCTATTTAACTTTTTCCTTTGGGAAAAAAACTAGTCATCCATATCTGTTGAAACATTTATCTCTATGAGGTAATCAGTTTATTTGAAAGGACTGAAACTGATCTTATGGTCACAGAACTATATTCTGAACATCTTCATAGGACTGAGACTTTTGCTTGAAAATAGTGTCAATGAAACCAGACCATCTTACCTTTCAATTATGGATTATTCATAATTGGCTCTGTAAAGTTGATCTGAGCTGACTGTTCAGAATATTTAAGTTGCTTGAAAAACATGATTTTTAGGATGCATTTAAAATAATTATTTTTAAAATATTCAGGTAAGTTTTCTTGTCTATATTATACAAGAAAAACATTTCTATCTTAACTATTTTGCATTCTAGTTTTTAAAAGTTAACTGCCATTTATTAAGTTAAAATATTTTGCAACAGTTCAATTGAAATTGAACTACAGTTAAAGAATGAACATATTTTGTGTTGAGAGATTTGTGGTCAGTTTTTAGAACTTTAAATAGCTCTTCTAATAGAAAGTATGAGGTGAAAAAAAGCAAGGAGAATATGTGTGAATCTTAGAAACTTGAAAGCTAAAATTTGGCTACCATTTAAAAACTAATGTTAGTTCAATGCAATTTATTGCTTGAAGCAGAGAAGAAAATGGTTGCACAACCTCTTGCTTGGTCAAATACTTTAAGATAGTAATCCATCCCCTACTTCTGTGGAGTAAACTTTATTGGATCCCAAAGGGATCTCAACATAGAATTGTTGGATAAGACTACAATTCTAAATGTACGTTCTTGGAAGTAATCTAATTAAAGTCATTGGGATTCATCTAAGAGTAAAGATTTCAGAGTTACATTATACAAAGTCTTGTTCAGACATTCATTCCTACCATTATCTGTCCTTTTCATTATCTGAAACAGGCTATTTCATCATATTCCTATGAAATACCATGTCACCTGATGAAGTTATATTATATGGATTGTTATACATAGGTTAATTAATTTTTGCAGCTTTTGTGGGACCAATTAATTATAGGAAATGTACATGTGGGGAAGTTCATTCTGCTATGTTTTCTGTCAAATGAATCTCATAATAAATGGTCCTCCCAATCCAAATTTTAAGTACATAGATAGTTCTGTTGTGATTAAAATGACAGTACATTATATTTGGTCAAAATAGCTATTTTGATCTGTCGCAGAAGATGTATGACTTGAATAATTCATTGTCCAGTTAAACACCAAGATGGATCACTAGATTGCAACAGGGCAAGAGTTACTATCACTTGATAAAAATCCCATCCCCCTGCTTAGAGGGGCATTGTTGTGGTTCAGACTTTGTGCCAGCCATTACCTCTCAGCCCTAGGAAGAACTATTGCTGAAAATATGACCAAGAAAACTGCTTACTATAGATTAGTCCATGTAGTCACCAAGAGTAAAGCCTAATTGCAAGGTGTATATATACACTCAAAAAAGACTACTGTTACTTTTCTGGATTATTTTATTTTGGAACTGCAGTCAGAGTGACTCATTTGATAGGACATAGGAAAAGACAGGGCAAAAATATAATACTGTTCTTATGTGTTGAAGTCATACGACTGAGTATTTAGTCTTGAAGTTACTATGTGTTGTATGTTGTTCAAGTTCTGCTTGGACCGCAAAGCTCAAAGTGAATATTTTAAACAAGACTCAAAGCAATCTATAAAATGTGGGTCATCTTTTTCTGTAGGAGTTAGAAATTGGAACAAAATTGATGTTCAAAGACTTCATTGTTGAAGTAGCAAAAGCCTCTATTCAGGCAATATATTACATAAATACAGTATCAAAACTATTGGAAATATAAATGCACCCACAAAAAATATTACCACACTACAGTAAGTCAGATGACTCAGAGCTGACAAACAGCTGACCAAAAGGGAAATATGATTTGAGGAGATTGTTATGGACATAAATCAAATAACTTTTAATAGCAGTTGACAGTAGTTAATTATAGATTGCTACAGACACAAGTTATGTAGCTTTTAGTAGCAATTGACAGTGGTTTTTTATTGTTGGCCTCCTTTACATATCATGGATAATTTCAAAGGGAAATCATATGCACTGAATCATCCAGGATTAGTAATTTAATTTTTAAAAATATCCTTCAGTGAAAATTTTGAAGATCCCTGGGTTGGCTAAAAAATTTTCTTTCAATTTAATAGCTGGACTAATAACTTCCTTTGTCTCCCTCCTCCTCTTCTTCAAAGTCTTAATAAGCTTCAATGAATCTAGTACAGTGTATGTCATTTTTACTATAATGGATCTTAAGGTAAAACTACTCTAGGTAAGGTAGGGTAGAACTCAATGATCTAATCTTCTTGAACCACTGGCATCATTGAAGTATTTTGGTCTAAGGCATTAGTGTCCAGCTAACCTGCCCATTTATTGTATCCTGATGTTTGAGGAATGAATTGTAGACCAACCCATTTGGTGAACCTATGCTGAGAAGGTCTTCTAAAAACAACTAGAAATAAAGCCAATATTTATTGTGGGACTGATTGAGACTAAAATGGGGTGTGTTGGGCCTGGGGTGCCATGGGGAATCTCCACCATAAATATGATACTAACCTGCATGTGAGAAAAACAGCAGACAAATCTTCTAGGTCAAGGAAAATTTAAAAGCCATATGGTAATTCTAATTTTATATAACACACAGCAATATCAGTTGTGAGTTGTGAGTTGTAAGATAAGGGGAAGAAAACAAAATGATATATGACACATCATAAGCTTCAAATACATTAATGCCATGTGGTGAAATGTTGGCACATAGATCAATAAATACGATTGAATAAATTGAATAAGAACAAATTTGAAATAAGTTTGCACAGGAGCATTTGCAGGCTGGGGCTGATGGGTGCTGTGGTGGATTCTTTTTGCTGCCTGCATATGCAGGATCATCGAACACCTCTCCCCTCCTTTCAATGGAACTGGTAACGAAGTGTACTAATAGAAGTACGAATTCTGTACGTCCTGTCGACGCTGACATGCACACCTGAAAATGCACAGCCAGAATTCTAACCGAAAAGCAACCAAATGTTTACAGCTGAAACCTATCCCTCTGGTGAAGCTGCGAATAAATTCAAAGCAAAACCAGCCCTTGGTGAGTGGCTTGCTGGTGGGAGGAGTTCCCATGGCAATAGAAAAGAGTTGGCATGACTGATATCAGCCGCGTCCCCCAAAAAAGGCTAAGCGGGACCCAATGGAGGGGTTCACGCGAGGAGACCACGCCAATGTCCTCCTCCCGTCCCCGCAACGCTGCGAAGCGAACTCCCGCCCGCACTGCAAAGCCGCAGCCCAGTGCAGCACCATTCCCCTATTGACAGCTCCTGATAGCGAGAAGGGGCGGGCGGCGGGCGGGGGAGGACGAGAGCCAACCGGCCAACCAAACCTGGAAAGCGCTCGAGGCTTATACCCTCCTCCCGCTCTCCAGATCGAGCTACGACTCGGATTGGCTAGGCCCGGCTATCAATCAGGCTAGCCAGCCGGCTAGCTAAATGGGTGGGTTAGGCTGAGGGATTTGCTCTTCAGCCTCGCAGGAACGGCGGAAAGTGGGTTCTTTTTTTTTTTTTTTTGCATGCGTGGGGGAAGTAAGCAAGCAGCTACTGGCCGTCGCGTCAAAAGAAAAGAGGAAGAGATGCCCTCGGCGGGAGAGAATTGCCACCCGTGCAGGAAGCTCAGATCAAGATCGCTCTTTCGTTTCCCTAAGCAGTGAGTAGCCTGTGAAAGAAGGGAGGGGAGCGCTAGCAAATGCATACTGTTTACTCGCGCGTCATCCTCCCAGTCAAATCCCAGCCAGCCAGCTCTTTCCCAGTTGCAGTTTTTAACTCAGGCAGTCAAAGTTGGGTGGTGGGAGCGGGTCCTCTCCTGCCATCCTCAGCGCATTGAGTTGGATGGACATGTTTTTCTTCACAGCTCCTCCCTGTAGTCTGCTTACCTCCCTCCGGATCACAGGTGAAAATGAACTTCAGCTTCCTCGGATGATTTGACTTGGTCCTTCGCTCCCCCACCTCACCCCCACCCACCCCGGTTTCCCTTCCCTCCTGTTTCCTTTCTGCAATGCTTTGGAAAAGCAAGAACCAGAGGCTGACGTCTCACCCAGAATGAAGAGGTGCAAGTCAGATGAGCTGCAGCAGTTAGACGGAGACTCTGCTGGGACAGAAGATGCTCTCCTCCTGCCAGCCATGGATGCCAAGCTTGGGGACTCAGCTGCTGCTCCGGTGGATTTGTGTGTCTCCAATCCAAACCCAGCTCCCCATCCTGTTACCCGGAGCAAACCTCCTGATTTAAAGGTATTTTTAAAATGCTTTTTAAAAATGTATTTGGCTGGACTACAGCCGGAACCCCCAACCAGGATGTGTATAAATTATTGACAAGTGCAAAAATGTCACAGGTGCTACATTTCGCATATACTTATTTTTAAAGGTGCACCAGTCAAGGCAATCATTGTACTATCCAGCTTGCATGACAAGTTCCCAGTGCTGAGTTTTCTTGTGATCAGATATGTTCATTGTTAAATAACAGACTTCGTTCAGTTTGTCACCTTTGCAACATAATATAAATAAAATATATTCTATAGTATATAGAATATGTACAGTGGTTTGGGAATCTGATTTGATCATATTCAATGACATTTTAAGTTGACATTTCATACCATCATTTTTACCTATTATATCTTTAGGCTGTAGTTCTATACCCGAAAATAAACCCCAGTGAGCCCATTGGACCTATATTTTAAACAGACACTGTTATAGAGTTGTATTGCTAGTTCTAAATTTTATCTAGTAATTCCTTGACTGTTATTTACTGTGTGTAAAGAGTAAATACAAGTTACTATGTAAAATTTAATAAAGTAACACCAATTTAATGAAATGAAATTTAATGAAAATTTAGACAGCTATTTGCCAAAATTATGCAATTTCATCCTCAGTTTGTTAGACATCAGTGACTATCAAAAGATGTTGATCTTAACAATAGATATTGTTATAATAGGATAATGAATATAAATGAGTCAGTGGAAGTGACCAAGTGTAGGTATGATTATTTTTCTTTATTGTGAAGTATGATTTAATGAACTTGGTATAATTTATCTGTAGAACTGCAAAATATACTCAAATTATAAACTATAATCTTATTCCCACATAATATACAATATAACTTCTCCTAACAATGGTTTACATTAATGATTGTGTGATAGTGATATCTGTATGGATTATTTATTACTCTGGAGTTTAAGATGTTCCCAAAAGAATTTCCCAGACAGTTCCTTATCATTAACAGTGAATTATTTTAAAACCAGACTAAGTACTGTTTGTTAACCTATTCAGTAAACTGGTTTGAATATAAAAGTTATAGGTTACATATCGAGTCCTGTTGCAAGTTTGTTGACTCATTTGTAACAATAAAATTCCTCTTCAAGTAACCAGGCATAAAACCTTTTATAAATTAAAAGAGCATTCCTGTTGCTTTTCTTTTAGATTTTAATGAGCCATAAATGACTGTTTCAGGGCAGAACCAGATGGCTGCATTATGATATTATTCCTGAATCAGCAGAAAACTATGCCAGCATAAATTGTGCTGCCCTGAACCTTATCCTGTCTCAGGAAAGAGCTAATTTGTGATGCCAACATTAAAATTTTTATTGCAGGATAGGTTAAGGAAAATGATTGCTGGATTCCCCTAACTACTTTTCCCCTTCCGCTGAGCGTCATTTCCACAGATGAGGTGGAGAATCATTGCTAATCACTCTTCTTAACTTATGGTAGATTAGGGTTGGGCAAGTGTAGAAGATGCCTAGGATGAAAAGTTTAGCCATATTTCAAATTGCCTGAGTGACAGGTTGCTTGATGTAGAAGAAAGCTTTTGAGGACTATCATGGCTTTCTTTATCTTCCACATTACCTCAGGCCTTCTGGTGCCTGTGATCTGTAACGGAAAAGATGGGATCAGGTGAAGCAAGACGAGGAACAATGAATAAACAAGCAACTTCCATTCTCAGCTAGTGATACAAGGGAAGGTTATTGGTGACAGAACTCAGAAATAACCTGTAGAATGGTCAAAATGGCACTGCTGGAAACCCGCAGAAAATAAGGACAAGACAGCAATATGCAATGGACAGCATCTGTCTCTTTTTCACAGTTTAAATCGACCCTTAGTGAAACATAGGATTACACTCTGTTAAAAGATCGCTAATCCTGTCGACACAGATCTAATTCTCTTTCAAAAGAGCACTGAATCTGTACACAATAATGAAGTCAGATGAAAGTGTCTCTCAGACATTACATGGAAGGTCCCTCTGAGGAATCTGATATCTTCTCCAACTCACTTGAAAATGACCACAAAGGGCAATGCTTAGCATCTAGAGGAATAGGGGCAGTGGTAGGATTCAAGTAATTTAACAACTGGTTCTCTGCCCTAATTATTTCTTCCAACAACCAGTTTTCCAAACTGTTCAGAAAGTTAACAACCAGTTCTCCTGAAATGGTGCGAACTGGCTGAATCCCACCACTGGTATGGTGGTATGGGGGGGTATGCCTCTAGCAGTGTAAATTGGCCAATAGGAATTGAACTGATCCCCAGCCCATACCACATTATTAATCATATGGTTGATTAAGTGTGTTAAAAAGTATCCCCAGCAAAAATTGTGTCGAAAAGAGGGAGAACATGTTTTAAATATTGAACAGCTGAAGATAACATTAGACTACTAGAAATGAGTCAGAGTGAAACCAGTGAAGATGTGGCATATACAAAATGGGATACCTGGGTATGTCAGTGCTGCGGGTAGGGGTTTAGCCCTGAAGTACAGGACTCAGATGGGTCGGTAATTACTGTAGACACTTTTGCAAAAATGGTATAACTGTACTTTAATTATTTTACTTGGTGTTTATATTTGCCCAAGATGTGGGTTGGTACATTTGTGTTGTCTCTGTGGTACCTTGTTTATTACGTCTTGAAAGATAATGAAATTTCTGCAGACATTTTATAATAATCCCATTCTCCAGCTGTTCTGGGTTTTATTGGTTGAAAACTAGGGATAGAAATAGAACAAAATAAGTTAAAATGTATAAACTATATTTTTTTCTACTGTCTAAGATGAACAGAACACCAGATAATACGGACTCCATCACTGTTCTATAATTCTTCAGCTCCCATCCCATTTAAGATTTCTTCATCCCCACTTCCATTTAAATGGTCTCCCTATGAGAATATTTATTTATTAAATTATCACAAATCATTAGATCCACACCAATGCATACTTGTAACTTTGATTTTTAAACATTTCTGTTGGGTTTTGTTGACCCTGGGTTATGGTTTTTTTTAATAAAAACACTACTGATGAGAACATACAAAAATATTTTTCAATGGTGTCTCATACTTGGCATCTTGGCAAGTTTTTGATGTATTTGTCCACCATATTTTTTTTTAAATGTTAATTCTACTCATGTTTTTCAGAACAGTTGTAGTCTTTTTACAGTTATTTTTACAGCCAACAAAAGTATGGATTTTTTTTAAATGTAAGGACACATTTGAATAAGATGCACCTAATATATAACTTGTTGAAATGTAGCAATTAGTGAGCAGATCATCCAGATGTATTAATCTCTTCTGATAGGATTAAATATGGGTGAGATGAAAAAAGTGTCTCTTCTAAGGAAGCATTATACTCCCAGAACAAGTATATGCATAATTTTAACATTAACACCATGAAATTTATATACTGCTCTTCATCCCATGGTTATAGAGGGGTTTACAATAAAGAAAAGAAATTTGAGTAAAAGAAATTTAAAAGAGTCCAATAAAAAGCAGACAACACTAAAGGCATCAGAAGGAACCAAGGCCACAATATGTTTATCAGATAGTGTAAAATTGTAGAGAATGTTATTTAGTGAATTTCACTATGTTTTATATTTCCTAGGAATTGGAAAGTTGCAAGCGTAGCATTGTTAGTATTCAGAAAAACGCAAGGAAATTTCAGTTGTGATGTGTTGAAAATATTATGTGAATCACAGTATATGAAATACTAGTGGTTCAAAAAGAAAATAGAATAACTTTCATGCAGATATAGTATGTAAATAGATACTATGACAAAAAAATGGAATGCTATTTTCCCTGAAAAGAAGAAAAAGTGTTTTTCTTTTCAAAACTCCTTTAGCCAGGATTCTCAAATTTGCAGCATATGATGCCCCAAAATGAGAGCTGAATTTGTGGAACCGCTTTATAAAAATTTCAAGGTAACAAATAAATAAGAAATGCTATAACTTATAAAGGATAGACCAATGGGTTTCAGTACTGTATCTGTCTACCTCAACCAGGGCTTTGCTTCCTGGTTGAGGTAGACAGTTTATGTCAGTTTCTGCTTCTGTTTGCTTTGCCTAAGCAAGCCTGACAAACTTTAAAATGTTTTTGTGACTCCCACCTTGAGTTCAGCTATGAACTATGGTTTGTTTAATCATGATTTACTGAACAATCAAAATTATCTGAGTTCATTCAACAGATAGCCATAAGCTGTGAGTCTTAGAAGATCCCTAATTGCATGCCAATGTTGAATGGGAATTATATGCTCATTGAAGATTAAAGATGGAAGATCTCCAGAACTGGAGAATTCAGATATCTGCAGCCACTCAAACTTGTCAGGACTCTGTTCCTTCTCTTCCAGACAATTGATAAATGAGGGGCTCTTCTAGTTATTCTATATATAGATAGTACTTGGTTGGTATTCCCATCATCTTTGTTATCATTATTTTCTGCCTAACAATTCAAATAAATATTGAAAAAAACAGTGTTGGCCTAATTGGATTTTTAGACATCATAAAAGTGTGCTACTATTCTGATCTTCTATATTCTTGTGGTTGGGAGTGGGGGAGAAGGAAGGAATGCAATAAAACATAATATTATGCAGAGTGGCTGGATCAGTTTCAGTCTGAAACTATTATAAGTTTCCATCTCTGCATATGGAAACTGGGAGGGATGACAGAATTTGAAGTAAAAGGGATCTGAAGATAAGGGAAGTTACCCAAGTCACCTCCACACAAGATGGTTTGCACACAGATTTAATAAACAAACAAATAATTGTATGGTTTGGGGAGAAATCTCATGTAATTTTGAGGTGCAGATCTCCAAAAGGCTCAATTCAGAATTGAGTCCCCAATTAAAATCAAAATATTTGGATTGTTAGGTTTTATTTTAACTCAGCTAGCTTTTGTTTTGTGAACCTGGAATGGTATTTAAAGTGAAATGAATCCCCTTTCCAGCTATGAATATGGAGACAAGAAGCTAGAGCATCAATTCATTTC